ATAAAGAAAAATCCTAACTAAAACAAATCAAAGCAATCACTTTTCAATCACTTTAATTCTAGGGTTTAGCCTAACTCACTAGACCAGCTCCTAACCAAAAACTCCTACAGTGAAAAGATTAAAATTTTACCCAGGTAGTTAGCCAGGTAAGGATAGTGCTAGAGGATAATCAGAGATCAACTAAGTACCTCGTTCCTTGCGGAACGCTTTACACAACCCCTAAACCTTGTCTTAGACACCAACTAATCTAAAAAACTTAAACCGGTTCACTTAAGGATTTCTTGTTCCTTATTGAACTCGAATCCTTAGGGGCCAATGTCTAATGAGTTTTAGAAGGCCTAGGTTTGTGAAGTGAGGAATTAGTGATTTGTGGGCTAAGGAAAGGGTGATGAAATCCCTTACCTTATCTTGATTATGGGTTTTGCCCTTAAGAATGTTTTAAGTGTGTGCCAAATCAAGTGCTACAACCACTTTGGTGAATTCCTACACTATATGAAATGCAACCCTAGAAATTAAAAGCGACTAAAAAGGATGATAAAAAGAAAATCTTTATATTTTTTAATTATGGTCAATAACAATCAAATGTGAGAAGAGAGCTCTTGTTTGAATTTATTATCTTGTTAGTTAATGTCCAAGTGAAAGGTGGATTTTATTATGGTCAACAAAAATAAATTTTTTATTTTTTTAAATCCTAATTGTCTCTAATTGTGAAGCTAGCTAAAGAGGGTGGAATTGAAAACTAGAAAGAGGACTTACCCGAAAGCAATTCTCCAAATTCTTGATCTTCAATCCAAGATTTTTAAGCTCCAAGCGGTTCCTTCACAAGAAAACACACAAGTTAAAGAACCAAAATAATAAAATCCTATTTTATCACCTTTCCCGGCAACGGCGCCAAAAACTTGATGCGGCATAATTATGTACCAAAATTTCAAGTGCACAATTGATCAAGTTATAGTATAAAAGTTATCGATCCCACGAGGAAGGTGATTTTAAGAGATTATTAGAATAGGTTCTTATGTTGTGTGCGGGACAAAAGAGGATTAAAGAATAAGTGTAATTGTGATGAGTGATTGTTGTGAATATATGCAAGAGACAATAAATTGAATTTTAGAGAAAAGAAATAAGAATCAAAGAATAAATGAAATCATAAGGCAAGAAAGAAGAATGAATAAAATCAAGAAATAAACCAAGAATGAAAAGAAAATTTAAGAAAGTCAAGATGAAGGATTCAAAAGAGGTAAGAAATCTAGAATATAATCCACTAACCAATTTCAATTACAAAATATAAACTATTCTCTTTTTATCATATTTCAACTTAGATTTATTAAGCATAGATTATCAAACCATTTAAGGAAAGTGTAACCTATCAAATTATCATCTAAGTCAAAATTACTATTCATGATAAGAACAACAACATGATAATAATCCTAGAATTCATAAGCATAACCTATCAAACCATTTAAGATAAGCATAGATTATCAAATTCTTCTTCTACCGATTAGTTCTCTAGTTGATTATCCTAAACATGAACATTTTAAGTGCAAGAGAATAATTCATACAATATAAAGGAAATTAGACTAGTTTCATACAATTCTAATATTCCTACAAGAATTAATTTCACATCTTAAGAAATAAAAGCAAGAAGAAAAAGAACTAATTACAAAAATAAAAAGAAAAGAAAAATCTAAACTATGAACAAGAAATAAATCTAACTACAAAAGAATTAAAATCTAAACTACAAAATAAATTGCAAAAATTAAATACAAGAAAATAAATCTACTCTACAAAATAAAGTGTAAAAAGAAATAAAAAGACAAGGAAATAAATCTACACTATAAGCATGAATGTAAATCTAACTAATAAGCAATAATAAAGAAATTACTAAAAAAATAAATCTACACTATAAGCATGAATGTAAATCTAACTAATAAGCAATAATAAAGAAATTACTAAAAAATAAAAGAGAAAAATAAAAGAAATGCAAACCTTCAAATTGTTCTTCATCTCCATCCTCATCATTCAACAAAGAGGAGAAAAATAAATTTAAAGTGGAGAAAAATTATTATTATTAATTGCAACAAAAGTTACGATTTTTGGAAGGCCTTCTCAATTAAGAGTAGCCCTCCTCTCTAAATAGAGTTACAAAATTTTTCACACATCTAACCCCTCACTCTCTACCCCTATTTATAGTAAACATCAGTGAATGAGAACCATTGGATTGAAATCCTATCAAAAAACAACAAATTTTAGCCTTAGATTCGTAACAGAATGCCGATGGTATCGATACCAGCATCGATAGGGGTATCGATGCTGGCATCGATACGGGCATCGATGCTGGCATCGATGCCCCCATCGATGCTGGCATCGATGCCAGCTCTTCTCTGGTTGCTGTCCGAACTTGTTTCTTCTTGTGGGCTTTGGGCTTGGACAATTCTTTGATTTCTTCATTTATTTGATTTGGGCTTTGGCATTTCTTGGGCTTTACTTCTTCTTCTTAGTTTGGGCTTTTGGATAATTTGGAAATTGATTTTCCAATTGGCTTCTTTGCTTCATTTCTTTATTTAATCAACGGGTTTTTGTTGAGAGATGGGAGTTTGAGATTTATTCTTCATTAACCTGCAATTAAAGATAAAAATAATTATTAGTGGTATATTTATTCATATAAAATAGATAATGAGGGTATAAAACTGTAATAAAATATGATTATCAGAGAACAAATCTTTATTTGCACTTATTGGTAAACACGTTGTAATACACAAGGACACTTAGAGGAGTGGTTGGAGAGAGATCGGGGTTAATTCCAAGAGGAGTGGGTTGGTAGTAAAACCTAGGGAGATGTTGTAAATCTAAACACTTGAGGAAAGTAACACAGGTGAGTCCAACACTTAGAGGAGTGTAGCTTGTGGGATTGGCAACATGTAGATTGTAAAAAATTTCGGTGATCTTTGGAAATCGATTGTGTAGTTATTTGAGATATAATGAAGATCTGCTCGAGGTGAGGAGAGGAGACGTAGGTCGTGGGTTGACCAAACTCAGTGATCATTTTCTTGTGTTTGCGTTTGGCTTTGGCATATTTTTATCTTGCTCTTATTGTTTATATCGCCTATTGTCATATTGTTTCATTGAACATCATTGCTTATATTTTTGTAGATATATCATCATTGCAAGGATAATTCATTATTAGTTTTAATTTGACATCGCTATCAGATTAGATTAATAATTACCCTATTCACCCCCTTCTAGGGCACTCTCACTATCAAGCTATACTACAGCCCACCCTGGCCTGTTGCCAGCAGAAGCAGGCTTGTTGGCCTACTAGCAGTAGGCCGGTGGCCAATTGCTACTGGCCTGCGGCTAGCAGGTTTATAGCTTAACCATTTATATTTTGCGAAAAAATATTTTAAAATTAAAATTCGAAATCGGGCTGGGCTGGGCCGAACCGGGTCAATGGTGGACCGAG